ACTCAGCAATCAACTTTTGAGTATAGAGTGAAAAAAAATGTAAAGCTACTTGAGAGATGTAAAAGGAGATATTATGGAAATCTTGACAGTGAGTCTTAAATATATTCTTCTTTATAAGAAATGGGTATCTGATTGATTGATTTCACACTTCTCTATGATGGATAATGTGCAAAAAGAATTTGACCATCGTAGCTCAAGTGTACAGCACTGGACTGTTAATGAACATAGACCACTCATCAAAAATAAAATTTAGCAAGTGACATCAGATAAAAGATAAGTACTTCAAACAATTACTACATAACATGCAAAATGGTTTATTATACTAGATCCTTTTATGGAACTAGCACCAGCGTGTGTGTGCATGTGTGCGTGTGTGTGTGTGTGTGTGTAGACAGAGAAAAAAATTCCTCCACGCCAACCAAATGGAAGAGCTGTACCAGGAAACCTGTTTAACAGCTATTGATCTCACAGAGGTATTTAGAAAATAACTCTATATAACTCTATTTTAATGCCTAAGATCCTCATTCTTCTTATAGAAGTGTCAGGTACCCACATATCAGGACTGTTCATTTCTCTTATATAAGGAGGCAGAAAACCTGCAGAAGATTCTAAAGTTTGCCCTTAGAATTCTAAAGCAGCCAGGATGGAAACTATCAAATATACTTGCTGTCTGAAACTCGGCTTTCCCTGGGAAGGAGCTCAGCCACACAAGCATTTCCGAGATTGAGATGAATGATTAATTTACTTTCTGACTCCTGGTGGCCCGGGACTAAATAAAATGTATCACAACCAAAGAATATAATAGAATTATATGTATGGAAGATTTTTTTTAAATGCTTTTTTGAGGGCCGGGGATTTAGCTCAGTGCTTCCACTGCCAGCCTCGCAAACACAAGATCCAAAGTTCAATCCCAGGTACAAAAAAAAAAAAAAAGACAATAAAATACTTTTTTTGAGAATTAAAAGGAAAGACCAACACACCTGGAGGACAGAAATGAAGGTTCACAGTTTTTCACAAACTTAAGGCACACTATCTTTGGGCTATGAAAACTTTTGAAATGACAGCTGTTTGCCCTATTGCCAGGACAGGAGCAGAAAACGATGAGCCAAAGAAAAGGTTGTCGTAGGAAATATTTCAAAGTGGATTTTAGTATGAGCGTGTCAAGAAAACCTAGAAACAGAGCCAGTGAGTTACCTTCAACAGGGTAAGAAATGGCAAATCCGATTCATTTATACAGAAGTGAAGCTCTCGGTAATATTTTGACATTTCCTGGATCTACTTCAAAGGTGGATTCCAATGTTTTGGTTGATTGCAGTGGTCTCAGATACTCAGTAATTATTATCAAGTAACTTTTGTGTGATACACTCTTGAGAGCAGAGCCATACAGATTTATGTAGTCTGTAAACTGTCTATAAATTAAGCACACTCCAAAAGTTATACTAATACAATGGAAAACAAAAACCATAAGAACAATGTGTTTCATTCAGTTTGAGCAAGATTACCACCATTGAGACACTGTTGTCCCTAAGTGATTATACCCTTGTCAAGGTAATCTACATTTGAGCTTGACAATGAACTTGCCAATTGAAATTTACTTTCCTATTGTAAACAGCACCTCAGTTCCAAGCACAACAAATGAACAATGTGTCATTCTGTTATCATAAATAATTTAAATTATTTCAGGAAAAGACACTTTCTCAACTGCGATCTTGAAATAGGGGGACTCAACAGTTCCTACTAATAAGCGTTGGGTGTGCCCTTCTGCAGAAACAAAGTGGTGGTGGTTGAGGCAGGGATGAGAGGTCACCTGACTGTATTTCTAGAAAGGATCAACGGTTTCAAATCTAAAGTGACCTGCTCCATCAACATGGATGGTGAAAACCATACCAGCCTGAAAATGCCTGGAGCCTGGGAAGACTTCTACTTGCCCTCACCTACCCTGCTTTGGCTTGCTGGTTGCTTGTTTGGTTTTCATGCCTATGCTTGTAAATGGATGAGAAAGGAAAACAAATCAAAAGAGGTAAAGCCCTCATTAGAACGCCTTTGTAACCCAAGCCAGGAAGAAAGACAATCGATATTTAGTACTCTGGACATATTGGCCCTAAGAAGGTAAACAATAGCAATAAAACAGAAAAGAACCCTATTCAACTTTATTTTTATCATCACCGTTATTAGTATTGGGCTGCGGTTGATCACTGTGTTTCTGTAGGGCTTTCCAAATCAGGAGTCCAATCTGAGAACTAAATTTAATTGCTCTGTGCCTCACCGGAGCACAACTAGAAGCCAGCAGTCAATTCAAGAAAATGAAGATCAACATGCTCTTTGTAACCTCTATGCTTAAAATGTTATCTCAGGCATGGGCAAGTTAAAATACTTTCATTTCGGGGTTGATATGAATTTCTGAACTACTGTAACTATTTTAAAGGGAAATATAACTTCCTCAGGGCAATGTTAATTTTTTCTTATACTAGTACACAGAATTTACACACACCTCTTTGCTTAAGATTTAAAGCTGTTTATTTTCACGACAGTCATCACGTACTTCACACTGGTATCAGAGATGCATAGGTCAAAGTTCAAGCTAAAATATACTCCTGTACTAGGCTTTGGCATTTCCGTGAGTCTTGTCAATAAGCTAAACTATTGTCACAAAAATTTAGAAAAACTTTTACTTTCAAGCAATCATTTTTCAAGCCTATCTGTGTTAACGGGCTAAACTGGGATTATTTATGAAATTCACAGCTGATGTTTTCAGCACTATCTTTTCTTTTACAGAAGCGAGCATTAACTAGGCTTGCTGCCTCCCAGGTAACATCAGGTCTCCAGCTGGCTTCCACCTGTGGGTGTATTAACTCCGGCGCGGGTCCCTAAGTCCCCTTCGACACACCCCAGGGCTGATAGGTTCGGAACATAACCCAAATATGCAAACTTTTTGGTCACAAACTGTACTCCTCCGCCGAAGTCTAAAGCGACCCCGCAGCGGGAATGGCACAGGCTTTTGTTCCAGCGTCGCCCCGCTGGCTGGCGAGGTGAGCACCCCGACAGTAGTCCATCCCCAAAGGCCGTGAGATTCTATGGGACGAGAAGTCCATTTCTACGCAATCCGTGAGCGTGGGGTACACAAACACGCGAAGGGTGAAATCATAAGTGCCTTTCAAATTCTCCTTCAGCCTCAGGTTCACAAAGTGAGCCTCCTTCTCCGTGGAGGGCGGGGGCGGAGGAGGGAGCGGAGCGGGGCGGGGCGCCGGGCCCCGGAGAGAAATGGAGAGGTAAGGGTAACCCAGCAGCAGTCCAGCTGCAAGTCCCCCCCCCCCCACCTCCGGGTGCAACCAGGAAAGCTAGAGTGTCAGTGGTTTTCGGCTTCCTGTTTGTAAAGCGAGAAGCTCCCTCCCAGACTCAGGGACGGAGGCGCGCTCGAGGCAGGGGGCGCAGGGGCCCTCCCAGCCCGCAGCCCGGGGGGCAGAGCTCGGCGGAGAGGCGGACAAAGCGCCCCCGCTCCTCCCCGACTGCCGGGTCCCTCCGGGGGGGCGGAGAGGCTGGGGGAGGGGGGAGGGGGAGGAGAGCGAGAGGAGGAAGGGGTGGGGGAAGGCGCAGCCGGCGGGACTGGGCTGGATCGCGCCGAGGAGGGAGGGGTTGGAGGAGGGGCTGGGAGGGCGCGGAGAGCCGGGAGGAGGGAAGGATTCTTGAAGCCCAAGATAAACAAATTGTTCCTCTTCACGTGCGGGGTGGGGGAGTGGGGAGCGAGCGCCGCGGCCTCCCTTCCCCTCCCCCTAGCCGGCTCTTTGTCACCGAGCGCCGGGCGAAAGCCACCCTCGGCGCGCGAGGGCTCCCAGCCCGGGGAGGAGCGCGGCACAGAAACTGCATCCCCAGAGGGCCGCCCGATCGCGGCGCGCGAGCCCGGGAAGCCTGGGGGCGGCGCGGAGGGGAAGGGAGCGCAGACACCTTTCCCGAGCTTCCGGCCTCCCCCCACCCCCAGCCCAGGAAAGCTAAAGAGCCGGAGCGAGGAGATAAGAGAAAGGATTCCACCCTCAGGACTAGGGGGCGGGAACTGCCCCTTCCTCCCGGAGAAGTTAAGCCATTGGCTGCGCATCCTTCCTCGAACCCACCCACCCAGCCATTTAAGCCTCTTTCACCTCGCCGCTCCCCTCCACTCCTCCGCGCTCATTACATAGGCGCGTAAAGTTGGCGGAGCGCGGGCAGAGGGCGAGGTGGGGGAGTCTTGGTGCCACCAAGTTTAAGAAGAGCCAAGTTGTGTGGCGGAGACTCTGGGCTCCGGCCACCCCCCCAACCCGGCCTCGACCCTCCCCGCGGCTCCACCTGCCGGGCTTGCCCGGGCCTCCAGTGGCGAGCGCAGCGCACTCGCGCCCCGCACCCGCGCGCTCCCGCGAGTACCCGCGCGCGCAGCCACCCTCGCTCGTTTCTCACCCACTTCAAAGTTCATTCACAAAACTCTCAGACTTTCTCAAGCCCAAAGGAGGTGAGCCGGGGAGAGCAGCGAGAGGCTCTACCCTTCTTTCCTACAGAGGTTGAGGGCCCCAAGCCCGCCCTGAATGCGCGACAGCATCAGTTCTGCCCTGCACAGAGAGGGGTGGGCGAAAGGGGAAGATCTGGGGAGGCGAGGCGACGCGCGAGAGGTGGGGTGGAAACCGGCGAAGAGGAGGGGCGAGGTTGCAACTCTGGGGTTCACTCTCAAATCCGTATCTAAGCCAGAGGGGGGGGAAACTTTTCCAGCACCTCACTCCGACGCTCCTCCAGGCTCCCTCCGCCCCTCGCAGTCGTGACTGGCTTCTCCCCGTCTCACCCCCTCCTCCTCAAATCTGACAACCCTGACAGATTAACAGGTAGCGGCAACGACAGCTTTTTTTTTCTGAGAAAAGTTGTCGTTAACCCTTCGGCTTCATCCCACCGTGCAAATCAGACCCTCACGCCCCCATGGAAGCAGCTCCACGCCCCCCCTCACCCGCGCGCGCGCCCCGAGCCCGCTGCCAGTACGCCCTCACCATGATCAGCGTGTGGTTCCTCTGCTCCGCCGAGGCAGCCTCCGCATCGTGCTGGGGTTTGCTCGTGTGCTGCTGCTTGCCAGTGCCGGCGCCCGATTTTTTGGCCCTCTGCTCCAGGGTCCGCTGATAGAGGCTCACGGTGTCCCGGCGCTCCAGCTCTAGCTGCTCCACTTGAGCCTGCTGGTACCTGTTCTCGCAGTTGACGTGGTGTCGCCGGCAACCCTCGATGCGCTGGCGGAGTCGCTCGACCACAGTGCTGTGCTTGGGGACGGCCGCCGAGCTGCCGCCGGGGCCCCCGGAGCCGCCGCCCGCAGCGGGGTGATTGCTACTCGGAGCAGCGGGAGTACTATTGGGAGTATTATTCACACCGATCCCGGCCCCGCCGAGGCTGCTGTTCAGGCTACTGTTGATGCAAATACTACTGCCATTCGCGGCAGCAGCGGGGGCTGCGAAATCCCCCATCCTGCTCCCCGGGCACACTATTTTGGAAGAACTTTTTTTATCCACCCCCCCTATCAGCCTCCTCCTTGGGTCCAAGGATTAAAATAGTTTTAGTGGAACGCGGGGGAGACGCAAGCACATGGATGGAAACAGCGATCCCGGCGGGGCGAAAAAAAGGGGGAGAGATTTTGGGGTGGGTTTTTTGTTTCCTTTTTTTTTTTTTTTAACTGTAAAGCTCGAGGGGGGTTAAAAAAAAAAAGCGAAGGGTGTTATCGGAATACCATCAGACACCTATCAACAAAAAGAATCACAAACTGAGCCAGCAGCAAATCAGGTTGCAACTCAAGGGAAGATCCGCTCTTCGCCTGCCTTCTTTTTATAATCCATTATTTTCTAATAAATTCCAGGAGATTTCCGGTGGCTGGCAAGCATTTTCTCCCTACGTCCCGAAAATCACACCCCATGTACACACACAAGCATATGCCTCCAGTGCGGAGACGCGCGACACACACTCACTCCACACCGCATCGGAAAACGGCAAGCTTGCTTATTGCATTTTCCTTCCACAAAAAAGTTTTGGTGTTTATGCCGCCCCGTGTTCTCAAAGTACTTTGGCTGCTCAGTTGCATTTCACAGGAACCTAGATACCGAATCCTCGGGCTGGGGGAAGTAAACACATGGACAGTCCGAGGCGACTGCAAAAGTAGATCGGTGAAGTCCTTTGCAAAACGCCGCGCGGAGAGCAGCCCCTAACGCTCGGCTGGGCTGCCGCTGCCGCCTCTGCTCCTGCCACCATCACAATGATCAACTGCTCGCCGCCGCCGCCGCCGCCTCCTCCGCCGCCTCCTCCTCCTCCTCGCGCTCCTCCACCTCCTCCTCCTCCTCCATGCCAGCGGAGTGATATCAGGACGCGCGAGCTCAGTAAACAAGGCAGCGGCGGCGGCGGCAGGAGGCCGTGAGACAAGACCGGGGACCGGCGCAAAACCCGGCCCGGACTCTCACCCGGCAGGAGCGGGCGGGGCACGCACGGGCACCCGGCTCTCCCCGCTCCCGCCCCCCTCACCTCGCCCTCCCCACCCGCCTCGCCTCGCCTCGCCTAGTCTCGCCCTCCCCGCCCCTCCCAGTCCCCAGCCTCCTCGCTACCAGAAAAGAGGGAAAGAAAGATTCTGGGGAATCTCAGGAATGGATCAACTTTTGACCTGTGTGTATGTGTGTGAGTGTGCGAGCGCGCGTGTGTACGTGTTCGTGTGTGCGAGCGAGCGCGTGAACAGCCGCGGGGACGCGCCTGGCTGGATTTGCTTATTCCCAGCGAGGTATCAAGAGAGCCCAAGTTGTTGTTATACATTTATGCATCATATTGCAGAACTGTGCATGACCAGGCAGAAACGTTGCAGCTGCACAGCAGTTGTCTGTCATTCCCACCCATGTGGAAAGAAAAAGGCAAATGAGTGACTTGTTTTTAAAACCCAGGTAATAAGTCCTTGCTAGTCATAACGCTGTTTAAGGACACTTGTTCAAACTCAAGGCCAGTCTTGACGCGCCAATTCTGAATTCTGAATAAATAGAAATAAGCAGCGGAAAACTTAGAAAATTCTTTAATTCGCTATACATCATGATTGTTGTTATTCAAGCAATTATTGTTTGACTTACCCTTAGAAAATATTAAAATAAAGCAAGCAGGGACTTGGAGGTGAGACTAACAATACATTTTAACAGACTGTTTTGAACACTAGGTGCTAATGACAGTAGTAATTAAGGGTCCTTCGTAAATCAAGTGGAAAGATTGCAGATTTCATGGACTAGAACTATAGGAAAAACACAGCATTTCACAGTTTGTCATGACCAAAACAAAAACAAGCAAAAATAACAGGCTTACTTTATTGCTGGATATATTTCTTTACATTTCAATGAATTCATAATAAGTACAATTAAAACACAATAGCAGCTGCAGAAAGCAATCTAAACTTTTCATTTTATTATGGCGAATTATCTTCCCTTCTCAGTATCTAAAAACAACATTAAACATGGAGTTTCCTTGAGTCTGGACTTAAACACTGCATATACATAATTTTGTAAAAATTAAAATGGAGAAACTGCTTGCTTGTCTTCGATCATCAGTAGGCTACAGATCTTGATTGTGCAATGTTCATTATAAGGCATCCTCTAGTATCTCAATAAATCTTATAGAATGGTTTTTAGGGTAAAAATACACCCCAGTTTTCAAAAATAGCCAGGAATAAAAGAACTTTGGATCTTATGCATTAGTCATGAGATCTGATTTAAACCATCTTCATTTCTTGGCATTGCAGATTAGCATAGGATGCTATTTCTAACCTCATAATGTCAGGATAAGAAGCTACATTTTTCTCCAATTAATTAATCAGGTCTATATAGTGAACTTTAACATCCACCAGGTTATGTGGTAAAATGGGCAGCAAATGAATTTTAACATGGCGTGAGGCTACCTTTAAGTAGTAAAACCAGTGTGAGAGAGCATCTTTTGTTGGAATTGCCATATTTTTCATCTGAGGATTATTTAGTTAATAGAGTAACTTCAAAATCAAACCCAATCTCGGTCAGAAAATTGAACTGAATTAGTCTTATAGAAAATAAATCCATTCATACTCTAAAAACAGGTAGAAAATTACACAAAATTATAAGAAAAAGTAGCAAAGTAGCCTTTATCTTTTTCACACACTCACGGAACAATATCTCTATTAACTCAGGAAGCATGGGGCTTCACCACAGAGGGGAAGCCATGACTTTGCATTCACTCTTCTCTCTCTCTTCACAAGAGTTTACTTGTTACCCTCCGCCTAGCCCTCTTGCCTACATCATCCATGCAAGATCGAAACTCGGTCCCCAGAGGCAGCAGATTGAGAGTGTTGAGTATAGGGTCTTCAGTTTGAGACATCAGTCTAGCTTTTCCTTGTGAAAGTTTTTCATTGGCTTTCTCATTCTGGAAAAACAGAAAAGATAACTATGGCAATAGCATGATTCCCATCGAGGGACCGGCAGGTGGGGGACACACTTTCTGTCTTTCCCCCATGCTCCCAATGACCAATGCAGCTATTCCTGCACAACTGCTGTATTCTTTGCTGACTGATTGTAGTGCATGAGCAGGCTGTACCCAAAACCTTGAGTTTTCATAAGATGGGTGCACACACACCCACACACACACTTCAGATGACAGAAGAGACAGCCACAAGCTCCAAGAGCAAGATGCCAGATGCCAGACAAGGAAGGATTGTGAAGTTGTGAGAGGGGAGAGGGGAGTGCTTGAGAACCCCGACCCAGGCGGGTATTCTGCTATGATGTACTTGAGGTCCGAAGCCCCATCCTACTGTACTCATGCAGGGCCAGTAGAAGAAAGAAACAGGAAGTGAACGAGTGTTGAATCTTGAGCAATGTCAGCCAGTCACCCTGAACTAGAGATGTTTGTCCATACCAGTGACTTTCGGAGAAACAGAAACCTTGTACTGGCTATTTCTGGAGACTAAGGTAGAATAGGAACACTCTGCTGCCCATGTACACATAAGCAAATCTTTATATAGCCCTCAAAATTGGGGCTCAGGGATTTCTGAAGTACTAGCCACAGCAAGGTATGCTCCTAAAGCTCTAGCGGTGGCTATCTTTTCTTTGGTACTGGGGATTGAACTCCGGACCTTGAGCTTGTGAGGCAGGAGTGGAACCACTGGGCTAAATCCCTGGCCAATGGCTATCCTTTTAATAATTCCACAGACATATCTACAACCTTCCGTGTGTCAGGTGCTGTGATAGGCGGTGGATATGCAGCGTAACAGTACATACAACACAGCCCTGATCTCAGGGAACTAGGGTACTAGGCATCCTGGCCCACCTCCTGTGGAGACTGTTTGGGAACTAGTAGAAGACCAAAGGGGAGGGGCAGGGGGACCTAAGAAAAGTTTTCCAGGAAAATCCATCCATATTTCCTTCTCACAGCATTGTGACTATGAGGGGATATGAGGAGAGGTGAGGCAGCTGAGGCTGAGACAGAAGCAGGAGCCAGCTTGTTTAGGGCCATCCAGTTTAGACTGTATTCTTAGGACAATGGCTGCCGTCAAAAGGACTTAAGCTGATTTATACATTTTACTTTGGCAATGCAGACAAAGTAGTATTACAGTGTTTTCTAAAGTGTCTACTGAAACACCTGAACCCATCCATTGCTCCACCATAAAGCCTGCTGACCCAAGTAAGTTCAGGAGTTGATCTCTCTTGAAGATTCATGATGGTTTTGAAGGTCATGAGAAATCTTACAGCAAAGGATGTTTAACTTTGCTTAACTTAATGCTGTCCAAATCCTGTTATGTCCCACAGAATAGAACACGCTACAGAAAACTCTGTGCAAGAGAGAGTAAAGATTGAAGCCAGTTCTAAATCCACTTCAAGTTACATCAGTTGTCTGGGGGTGTAGCCTAAGTCAAAGACCACACCCCCTCACCATCTGCTCTAGTCCAGTCTCTAGGAGGTGGGCTCAAAGCCCCTCACTAACCTTGCTGGCTGTGTTAATTCTGACCTTTAAGTAGTGAGGAAGTACCCACATGAGACAGAACCCTCAGAAGGGTGAATTTGACTAGCCTTTCTCAGCATTTGTCCCCTGAGTGTGTTACATTGATATGTATCTCTATATAACAAAAACCTCCTTATTAGGGGAAAGGTCAGCCTTATTTAACTGAAAAATCTTAATTTTATGATGTCTTTAAAGATGAAAAGTTTCATTACTTTTGAAGTCTGCATTCTGTCTAGCCTAACAAATACTGGCCTCATGCAGGTATTTTAATGATTTCCTTCTACCCAGTAAACCAATTGTTATGTAAGTGACATCCCCCATGGATCAGGGGTCTTTCAAAGATTTTTTCTTTGAACAGTTAAATATTCTAGGCAAGATCCTATTTACTTTATTAATTTTAACTTTTTTATTAAGAAGAATTTAATGAGCCCTAGACCATGTCATAAATTTTGAGAATATGCATTAATAGGTTTGCTTATCAATTTATATATATATATATATATATATATATATATATATAAAATGATTGTATGGTTACTAGAAGAAAGGTTCTCTAAAGTCCATGACCAGAAAAAAAAATTTTTTTCTTTAGTTTTGTGAGAAAGTGTTTAGGCTGGTTTTGAACTGTGTGGTTCAGGCTGGTTTTGAACTCTCTAGTCCAGGCTGGCTTCAAATTCATGGCACTTCTCCTGCCTCAGCCTCCCCAGTGTTGGGATTACAGGTATGTGCCACCACTCCCAGCGATGGCAGAGAATTTTCTTAAGAACCTTTCATTTGGTTTCTACTCTCAACCATTCTGCAGAACCATTTATTTCAAATGGTTCTGCACTCAACCATTTGATAAAATAAGGTATCTGACTTGAACAAGTTTCCATGTTGGATGTTAAAGACTTCTGAAAGAAATTATTGATCATTTTTTTATTTATTGAAGACTTGTAATCAGCTAACCTTGACCTTATAAATAATTTTAACCAGAAACAAGCATTGAAAACTTGTTCTATTCCAGTTTTCTTCTCACTGGTAAAGAAACTGAGGCACAGAAAGAAACTTTCACCAAACCACACTGCAGCATAAAGTGGCAGAAACCAAATTCGAACTCAGGCAGTTTGACCCCAGCATACACAGTTATGGGAGAAACATATAATTGAGGTGCTCCCTTTCTACAGCTGCAAGAACAGAAGGCTGTTGCTGCGGGCACAGGCTGAGGTCCAATTTTTACAGAAAACCGTCTCTGGCCATGCCTCCCCTGGGCCCTTGTGGTGGATTAACTAATGGTTGGTGCGAACACCCAGCTGAAGTGAATCAGCATGGTCTGGGCTGGAGGACCCACCTGAGGATTGTTCCCAACAGCATAAAAGGAGAACTCGAGGGGAAGATGTGGGCTGTTGATTTTCTAGGAGAAGCTTGCTGTGGTTGGTTTTCCTGATGCGAACTTGGCTGTTCTCATGGGAGAAGGGGCTCGGGGCCT